CGAAGACAGCTGCGTGGTTCTACCACCTTTAAAAATATGGGCTTCAAAAATATAACTCATTAAAACGTAAATGTGTGTGTAGTTTACAAGTACATGAATATTTATGAAGTATTTACTATTGTCAGGACATGTACCGGCAGCGGTGCATGGATGTTCGGCGTGATTATTTAAGCATCACAGAATATTGAAGGAAGTTTCATAGTTTTACATGTTACTTACCATTGCACAAAAGGTTGTCAACGCATCTGCAAACCCTTGGGTGTAACAGATGTCTATGGGCGGTGGTATTCACTTAACATCAGGTGAACCACCTGCCCGCTTGGCAACTTTTCACATATAAAAAAAAACCTTAGTCGTTTGGTATATCTTTAAAAGTACTTGGAAATAATTAGACTTACACTTAAAAAGTCTGGAACAAATAAGGTTATCTCGCATTCTGGCGTTAGTTCTTTCGACACAATTATATCATTATGACGTCACGGAGCCAAACAATAGCATTACGGGCACGCTATAATCGATTGTAATAAAACAGTGGAAAGTTATTGGTAACAATTAAGGTATGCACCACCCTTGACTTTTAACCGTGAAATTCGATCGCTGCAAAATTATGGTCGCCTGGTACTTTTATTACTTAAAATGTTAGTATACACTTGATTTTTACCGTTGTTCCTTGACGTAGCAATTTTTTTTCACCTAAAGCAAATTTCAAGGTCGTACCTTAATTTATTGTTATTAGGTTTCGACAACCACTAAATAGACCGTAATATATGTCAGTATGAATGCCAATCCCATCCCATTTTAAGTCGTGAGATTAACGGTTTGTCATGATATCTTTTCATCAGCGATATTGGCGTGCAAATATCGGTGTCACAGGCCCCGGAAAAACGGGAGACGAAAGTCAAATTCTAGAGATCTACAGGTTTCAAAATCGTATAGGTATTAATGGAGTCATCATCATCATCATCATTTCAGCCTATTTGAGTCCACTGCTGAACATAGGCCTCCCCCACAGTCTGCCACGAAGCACGATACTGAATCACCTGCATCCATCGACTTCCTGTACACTTGCACAGGTAGTTGCTCCATCTAGTGGGGGTCGTCCAACACTGCGATGGCCAGTACGAGGCTGCCACTCGAGAACCTTTATTCCCCAACGGTTACCAGTTCTTCAGCTATATGGCCGGCCCATCGCCACTTCAGCTTAAAAAAGCTTGATAAGGAAAGTATCACACCTCGAAAAGAGCCAAAGTTCTCAGGTCCATCAGACGTCAGTGCTTCACATCGTGTTGGATATACGCATGCGACATCTCTGGTAAACAGTCCTACAACTGTGGTAAGTGTACCACGGGTGTTGGTTACACTTACCATAGGTAGAAAAGACTCTCGTTAACCATTTGAAGTAAACATTTCTAATATTGTCGTATTGACCCCTTAAAGTAACGACCTATATACGTCCCATTGCGGGGTAAGGCCTCCCCTTTATAGAGGGTATTACGGCATAGTCTACCACGGGGCCCCACAGTGGATTGGCGGACTTCATATATGTTCGAAACATTTTTTGCTGTTATTTAGAAAATGTGCAGGATGTTTTCCTCCACCGCTGAGTACTAATGATTCAGCACTTAAAATCAATAATGTCATTAGTGCCGGCACCGGGGATCGAACCCAGGTTGCTCGAGTATTGAATGAAAAGCGAGCATTCGGGCAATGAGACGACTTTTGATGTATGTAAATACAAACAGTTCAATACCCTTTGTTGGTCGATCATTATAGCTCGTTCATTATAGTTCAATACCCTTTGGTTAGTAGCTAGGTAAAATTTAAATTCCATTCCTTTTGAAAATCCAAGGGATCGGTTTTATTTACGTAGAAAATCTGTTTACACTTGTGTCTGAATGCATTTCTAATTGTTATTCGTTCTGTTTGTTTATAGTTTAACTCGTCTAGTATCAATAAATAAGAGGGAGTATTTTATCTCCGTCTCGTGAACAAAAATGGAATCTATATGCGATATGAACTTTGGAACAGATATGGATGACAGGGCGAAAAAAAAATTATAAGTATTTGTTCTCCATTCAAAAATGAAAATAAACCATTGCATACACTTTTTAAGGTTCCATACTGTCCGTGTGTCCGTCTATCACCAAGCTGTATCTCATGAACCGTGATACTCAGACAGTTGAAATTTATACAGAATGATGTATTTCTGTTGCAGCTATAATAACATATACTAAAAAAGAGAATAAAAAATAAATTATTTGGCTCCCATACAACAGACATGTTTTTTTTTTGCCGTTTTTATACATAATGATAAGGAACCCCTTCGCAAGTCCGAATCGCACTTGGCCGGTTTTTTCTTTATCTGGAAATGTCTTCCTGCATCTGCCCTTTACTGACTTATTTACCGTCAGGCAAGCCGTTCGCTTTCGCCAATTTTCCCAATAAACTTGTACGTGACCGGGCACACGTGTCTCCTTCGAGTGTGTGGGTCCGTGGATTCGGGGGCTTCCCGCCAGCGGTGCGCTCTTCGTACCGCTATCGGACGGGTATTATGAAATGTCCGCGCGTGACCCGCATCCCTAATTCCAGGGGTCACCAACCCGTGTATAAAGACCAACAGTTAAATAATTGTTTAACGATCAATCACGACCAACAATACCCGAGCGACCCTCCAAATCCTGGTGCCGACACCAATTTAAATGTTGATCATTAAGTGTCGACATATCACGTGTTGAGCGCTGAAGGAAAACATCGCATGTTTTCCTGATAAACTAAAAACAAAAAAATATAATCGAAGATATGTGAGAGAAATTAACTAATCAGCTGTCAAATGGCTTCTCAAATGTAATTGAGCTGCCAAAAGTATGGTTAAATAAGTAAAAGTTGATCAGAACGACATTTGACTGCTGATTAGTATAATTTCTACGATGATCAGTGTTTCAGAAACCGGGCGTGAGTCGTTAAAAATCAAATTGCGCGCTTTGAACACCCCTGCCTTGATCCGATGCGTTCGTCCGTTCAATATTCAGAAGGCGTCGTTAATATTCGTTCGGTATACGGCCGGCGTCGGGGCGTTCGCATACAAATCATCGCCGTGTCCGCAAACAGTTTATGCGATTCCGACTGGCGTGGTTTGAGACAAATGGCGGTTGGAACGCATACTTTTAACACGCTTCTGTTGCCTTCTTATATAGGTACTAGCGACTCGCCCCGGCTTCACACGTAATACATTTATTATACATATAAATCTTCCTCCTCAATCACTCTACCTAAAAAAAATTGCATCAAGATCCGTTGCGTAGTTTTAAAGATCTAAGCATACATGGGGACACACAGACAGCGGGACGACTTTGTTTTATACTATGTAGTGATTAATACGCGAAGTAAATACTTTGTACCCCTTTTTACGCAAATTGCGCGGATGGAGAAGTATGAAATTTCTCACACTTATAGTGCACAGTATACTAGCATGTTCTTGACACACGCACGCATATATGCTCTTTTGTTGTGTATTGTTCAAACTTATAAATGAGTTATGGTCGTATTTCGACCACTCATCGTCTACTAGTATATATAGAATTATAGATGCACGTTTGTACATATTTATTTATGTTCGTGTGAATTGTCGTAGGGCCACGCAACAGTCAAAATTTCTTTATTCAACATAGGCTTATTATTGAACGTCAAAAAGTACGACCGGTACACTAAACTAGACCTGCAAGAGATGAACCGGCAAGAAACTTTGCGGTCATATATTTTTTTTTATAAATGATTTAAGTATGTACACAAAAGTATTTAAGTATAATTTAGCAGGAGCCAGGGGACTTGCAAGTGCAGAGCAAGAGTCATTTCCACACATCCTTTTTCCTCAATGTATTCGTCGACGTTATAATAGGCCCTTTCCATTAAGGTGGCTTTTACAAAATGTTTGAAATTATTTACACTTAATTGTTTGTGGATGTCACCACAGTCTTCGCTGTTGCATGAATGGGTTGATCCATCCGTCCGGGGCAGTACCACGACCTCACAGAAAACCGGTGCATAGTTGAAGTGTTAAACTTCTGCCTTTCGTCTGTTGACTGAGGTAGCCGTGGCCAACTTTATTAAGCGCGGCAGCGCGTCTGCAACCTTACGGATGTTGCAAATGTCAATGGGCGGCGGTTATCAATTAACATGAGGTTTCTTTGATAAAAAAAGTAAATTAAAGTAACAGCCTATACATATTCCACTGATGGGTAAAGGCCTCCACTGTACAGAGTATTAGGATCACCACGCGATCCCACTGCAGATTTCACATATTTTCGAAATATTATTTTTGTTATTATTACGAAAATATGCTGGTTTCTCACGTTTTACTTCACCGCTGAGCACGTGATAAGTCAGCACTTAAAATTAACAATTTCGTTGGTGCCGGCACCAGGATTTGAACTCTGATTTCTCGAGTAATTTTTTAAATGTGTTCAGCTTAGCTACCATATGGTCCCATTTTAAATTCATTAGTACTAGACCTTTGACTTCGTAAATACATCAGGGAACTCCTCAAAATCTAATAGAAAATATACATTTTCGATACAAATATCTATTCCTATTCCATACAATATTTGAACCCGACATTTTCGGCAGTTCTTCTCAAGTCAGTGGCTTCTTTCCGAACCGATAGTAGAACTACGACAATCAATAATGGCATAATCAATTATGCTTCTATATTGAATAAATATATTTGAATTTTAATTTTGACTTTTGTTTAGTTGTTTCACTTCTTCGCTTACTTGAACGAGTGCTATCCAATCGTGATGCGTTTGAAATTATTCAAAAATTCGTCTACTCGTATAACCGCCCGTTTGTATACACGCATGACGTAAAACAATCGATATCACGAGCGCTATTGACCATTCGTCTCCCAATAAGGTTCTGTCCAGCGCACACGTTGCCAGTATCGGATGATCTTCACGCGCGACGGGTGCTTCTGTGCGTTCGCGTATTAAGATGTTCCCGCTGACATGTGGTGGCGTTTCCTAGCGTTCTGCGTGCTCGTGACGCTTGTGCTGTTCGTGGTGTTAAGCTGCGTGTACGGCAGGCCAGTCGTGCACCTCTTCTTCCACCGCTGCTGCGGCGAGGACATAGAGAACGACCAGGTGATCTACGAGAGCTTCGGAAACAACTTTCTGAGGGAGCGCCTCGTCGGCACCGATGCGCTGGAGGCGGAGACGACCGCCTTCTCCTTCGAGGAGGTGGAGCGGGTCATACACGGAATGAGGAGCCTGATAAACGTCCACGATCCGACGACGAGGGACGCCTTCTACGAGCTGGGTGACGAGATGAGCACAGAGGATGATCCCGTAATGGATGTCACGACGGAGCGACTGAGGAAACGGGGCTGGTGAACGATGGGTGTGCACTGTGATTGATTCTATACTGCCAATGGTGTGATGTAATTAAATATGAACGTGCTTTCGATGCCTTTCATTTATCATTACTCAAGTAAAACAAAGCTAGGAAAATAGACATCTAAGTGATCTCAGCGAAGATTGATCTTACTGTTATTTATATGGAGAGCTGAGTACAGATAAACTTCACTAGTGCTTTCTAGTTTCGGTTGCCGATGTTGTGAGAAATGTGTCGTCGTTTTGGTTTTTTATTATTGCGTGTTTTTTTCCTTGGATGATGTAGTTTTATAAAATGTTTATATTTTATAAAATTATGATTGATAATTCGAAGCACAACTCACACACAAACATACGAAAACGATGCATAATTTCAATGACATTAAAATATTTTATTTTTATACCAATTTTTTTAAATTTGGCATGAGATAACATTAGTTATTAGTTATTTATTATCTTATATAACTGATAGGAGGAGTTGGTGAATTAAACATACAGGCTTCTCTTAGTTACTCTTACGCATTGTCTCCAACTCGAAATTTAAAATAATAATGCAAACTGTTACGTTGTTCTGTCGATGTGTTACAGTACACAATAAGGTTTGGAATTCTGAGAATGACAGAACGGTTTTATGAGTTAATTTTTTTATTGGCTATTGTTCTCGACGCGCTTATGCAAATCAAATCATAATGTAAATGTTTATCGCTGGAGATTTCACGATGCAAATGTTAATTTGATTTGGTTATTTCTTTAAATTTAAGTTCACTTACCATAAGGCGACCCGCATGCTCGTTTGCCTCCTTTTCCCTTAAGAAAAGATTTTTTAGTGATCTTTGTTGTTAATTGTTAGCCGACTCAAAAGTATATAGGTATATCTAAATAAGTTTAAGTTTTAAATTTTAATTTAACCTTAACAATTAAGTTTAATTAAAGATGGTTTAGGAATAGTTAGGTACCTGGAAGCTGGAGTTGGAACGGTGGTTACTGCTCTTTACCCACAACACTTTGCTATTAGTTCTTGAGTTTTACATTTCTTCTTGATGTTTTAAGAAAGCGGAAGGGGAGGGATCTGGACGGATATGAATAGTATTGCCAGTGGTGTGTGCATTATAATGTATTGTATATTAAATATAATTGTAAAACTTATATATTTATATAAGTATTATAAATTTTTTATTAAAAAAAATTGTGTAGACAGTAGGTTTATTATTTCTTACTTTTCAGTTTTTCTGGCGGTTTATTTTTTTTTGTTATTTTTTTCATTTTACTATTTTTTGTGGCTATTATCTACTAATTTCTAAATGCTTAAGTTTTGATTTCTTTTATAATAGCTACCTACGTTATGTAATACACAACTAAGCAATGAAATCTATCAGTGAACAATAAATCACCCATAATTTCCCACCCTTGGGGAAATAATTTTTTTCAAATTTATATGAGATCAACTTCAAGGTATACCCAATAAAAAAAGAAATTAAGTATATAAAAAAAGAATTATCAAAATCGGAGTAGTCTGTAAAAAGTTATGCGTCGTGATATATAAAAATTATACGCGTCGACTTGAGAGCCTCCACGATTTTGTTAGTGCGGTCAATATTCTTTATAAATTTAACAACAACAAACAAATATTATACATGAAAAAAAAAATAATAACAGACCGCAGGTCTCTTACAAATCTAATACATAACCTGAGAAACTTCAAGTTTTTAAGTTTGGCTTATGATCCCACCCATTGTCCGAGGGCTCGCTTTTAGTTCAATATACTCGCAACCGGATTTCGAAGCCCGGTGCCGGAGCCAATTTAATTGTTAACATGCATGAATGAATTAATGTATGTATGTACTTTATTGCACACCAAAAATAAAATCAAACAAAATTAAAACTTAATGTAGAAGTGATGGGTACAATGGGCGGCCTTATTACTAAGAGTAATTTCTTCCAGGCAACCTTTGGATGGATTAAAAAGAAATAATTTAGGAATAAAGGTGTGGGTTAACTAAATGAATGAAAAAGAAAAATACTTATCTACAATCATAATTCATAATAATAAGATATTTATAAATATGTAAGTAAATAATTAAATGTGTATACAAAAGGCTAACAAAACATATACATATAAATACACATATACATACATATACACATCAATACATACATATAAATATATATATACGAATACATATATCATTGTTAGGGAATAACATTACAGAGATAAGCAATGATTTTTTACAAGATTCTTGAAAATATTTAATGACTGAGCACGCCTTACTTCTAGTGATAAGTAATTCCAGAGCCGCGCCCACATATTTATTTTAAATTGGAAACATGCATATTTTCGTAATAATAACGAAAGAATAACAAACACATATTTCGAAGATATGCGAAGTCCTCCAATCCGTAGTGGGGTCGCGTGGTGGACTGCCCTAATACCCTCTGTACACAGGAGGCCTTTGCCCAGCAGTGGGTCATGTATAGGCTGTTACCTTTTGCGGACATTTCAGCTACATCCTAATGCTCAACATCGTAATCCTTAAGTGTATAAATAGAAAAATTATATTAGAAAAATGATTTTAATTACCAGAAACATAAGTGCAAACATTGCTGTTATAAATGGCTGTATTATTAACAAAGTCAAAGTAAAAATTTCTTTATTCAACATAGGCTTATTTTAAGCTCTTATTGATCGTCAAAAACTACCACCGGTTCACTAAACTAGACCTGCAAGAGAACCGGCAAGAAACTCTGCGGTCGTATTTTTTTTTTAATAAATTATTTAAGTATAATTTAGCAGGAGCCAGGGGACTTGCAAGTGCAGAGCAAGAGTCATTTCCACACATCCTTGTCCTCGATGTATTCCTCGACATTATAATAAGCCCTTTCCATTAAGATGGCTTTTACAAAATGTTTGAAATTATTTACACTTAACTGTTTGTGGATGTCACTTATTCTGTCTATTATATAAGTTAATACATTTCCTGGTTTTAGCTTGTCTAAACCTCGGTATTTCCAGTGTGTCGCCAAGGAACCGACGAGATGTGGTATGTTTTTTTTTAAAAAGGTGTATGTTATTTCGTACACACATGAAGTTCTCAAGTATGTATTTCGACGGGATTTCTACTAATGGATGAGGTGAAAGATCAAAACTAAAAGCAGTATTTTAAATATTTTTTTGGGATTTGTTAAGAAGGTAATCAGTGGTCATAACTTAATATAAGTATATAAATAATAAGCTTAAACGTAACTCATAAAATATTTCTACTATTACTTATGCACAGAAAAAGAGAATGTTAAAACCTTATTAACGCATAATTACTATCCTAATACTACAATGTAATAATTTATGTATTTATTTCATTTGTTTCAATAAATGGGGTCGATTATAAACCTGATCCAATAGTTTTTCACTGCAGTAAATAGTTCAATAGTATTTTGAATTCGGTTCTATTAACGCTTAAATAATTTAAATTAAAGACGATTCTGAGCACGGACACCGTAAAGCGTTTGAAACGTCTGAAAAGACAAAAAAATGCTAAAATATACGCGACGAATTCGTTCGAATTTGTTTAATACAATTTGTAACAATTGCGAAAACCTAAAAAAAATATTTCGTAAATTCTTCTGTATTAATAATATAAAGCCTTAACATTCCCATTTCTACTTCTTTTAATTGTTTGTAACATTTAACATTTAAGCATGTAAGTAACATTTAACATGTAACATTTAAGCCTCCATTATTTATTTTTATTTATTTATTTTTATTTATTAATTTATATATCTTCTAAAAATTGTTTTGTTTTTGTCCAGGTATGTCAACCAGTCAAGTATGATGTTCTAACTACCGTACAAAAGCCGACTCTACTGGGCAATTATATGAAGAAGAGAAGAAGAAGAAACGTTTATTCACGGTCTAAGCACAATAGATACATAGAACACTTAAAAATAATAATGTAACTACACATTATGTAAAACAATATTAGAATAACTTAAAATAAATGTAAACATAACAAAAAAACAAAAAAAATAATAATAATAATAAGTGAAGGTCTGTGTAGCAGCATAAGACCGTGAAACGGACGGGACTCGGTAAAAGTCGAGATACAGTAACTAGTTCTGATCCCGACACCGGTTTTCAGTCCGGTCCGCACTTCGAGACAACTCGGACGGCTGCGTCAGTGCACTTGTAATACATACCTACAACGCAGTATAGCGATAATTATTTTTTTTTAACTGTCATTGACATATTACATATTATGAACACAACATTCACAACTTTTTGCATCGCTATATCTCCGAAATGGTGATTCTTGGGAAAAAGTCTAGAGACAGTTTTTATAGATAATCGCCTAATGAATAATTTTTTTTCTCAGTTATTGTTATAACAAAACTTGCCGTTTAGGTGAAAAATGCAAAAAACTGATTTATGCAACATTTGACATTGAATAATCTTTTTTGCACACATCGGATCGATGGGGATTTTTGACAAATTGTTTATAATAGTGTTCCCAACATTCATGCCAATTTTCTGCTTTGTGCGAATTAATGTAACCTTGAATGTCTGTTTTGACCGGGCTTATTTATTGATTGTCATAGCGAATGCCAATCTAATTGGGAATTAAGTGCGTTTGAATTCAATTGGCACATCTGTTGGAATCATAGATTCCTCCTCCGTGATGTTTGCTGGATGAGTGGTGACAACGGTATTCACCTGGCGGGCATAACTGATCGATTGATAGTTGATCAGTTATCGACCGGCGAGGGCGGGAGATCAAATTGAATTGAGAAAAAATTATAATTGAAGGAAATTGAAATTATACACTCTGAATAACAATTTATCGTACTACAATTATTATATTCGATTGCCATCTTGCAACTCTATTGCGGATCTGTGGAAAGAATGAAAAAAAAAATAAAAGTCGCGATGGAAAAATAGGGGTTGATCGTATAAGGGTGAAAATTAAGAGTAATATGATATTTTTTATTCTGTCATGACAAAATAA